CAGAGCCTGAGACTCCCTCCTGATTGAAACAGACAACCACGCCCTCAGCCGCCAGCCCGCTCCGCACGCACCTTTGTAATTTACTTCAGCACTGCACCTCCTCTGAGTCTCGGTATGCTTTTCTCTTTCCTTCTAGTTGTAGAATTTCCCCTCAGCCAGCCTTCCTGTGGTTCTGGGTGATGTCCGTTCCGTCTTTTAGTTGTATTTTTGAAGTGGTTGTGCGAGGCAGCAATCTCCGGTGTTTACCTATGCCGCCATCTTCGTTTCTCCTCCCCCTCTCTCTACTTCGATCTCCAACTCACACCATTTAACAAGCAAACTCTCTCCTCCTTGGTCCTGTTCTCTTGGGCAATCTCACTGAATTACTGAAAACAAAACCTGGAAGGCATCTTGGACTCCTCTCTGTCCTGCAGGAAGTACTGTCCTCCCACATGACTAAAATCTAACCTCCTCCTCTTCCATATCCCCGGCCAATGCCTCCCCTCAGGCCTTAATCACCTCCCTTTTGGACCACTCTGAAGCTGACCAACTGGTTTCCCAACCCCTACTCCCATCCAGAGCGATACATTCCTAAAAGGCAAATCTGCTAAACTTCTAGCACTTTCATTTTACATTTCTAAAGATAGATAAATTTATATAGAGATAAAGTGGGAGGAAGGGAGAGAGAGAGAGTTTTAAGAGAAGGCAGTGAACATAGAGAAACCTTTTTTTTTTTTTTTTAAGAAAACAAGGTATTTCCATCATGGGTTCTATTGTGTCAGAGTCTCAAGTTAGATGCAGATAAGATTCTGATTTATCAGGGATTCTGCTCATCCCCTGGGACTGAGAGCAGCCATAACTGCTTGCTCCACCCGCCCTGTTAATCCCCTGGGACCCGCCCCACCCAAGCCTTGCAATCCCAAAACTGCTTCACGCTCTCACTCACCTAACAGAGTCTGTAATCTACCTGAAGCACATCATCCTCCCTAGCCCTCAAAAGAGAAAAAGCAAATTCCTAATGCTAACAAGAGCAGAGCATTCATAAATATGAGGTATAGCACTTTCAAAATACATCTAATGACCTGAAAATGTCATCTCTGACACAGAATATCAGTGCTTTGGGTAGCAAAATAACATTACGAAAGAGTTTTATTTTTTACCTATAATAAATGGAAGGTAATTCATTACTTAGCTAAACAAAAATTCAGGAATAAGGCTAAACTAGATAACAGAAAAATCAAGAAAATAGTATGGTTTAAAATAAGTAAGTAAGTAAATAAATAAATAATAAAAAGCACAGGAAAAACTTGATAGCAATAATGACTGTGATAAGTCAGAGAAGAGAAAGTTCCAGGACTGTTTAGAATGACTTTTCCAGAAACGGGAGCTCCATCAGCACATAGGGTAGTTATAATGGCAGACTGGTCATTGCATATGTTTTTATTATTGTTGTTCTTCCTCCTTTACTGAGGATGAGTTTCACTTGTAGATACGATTCTCTCTTTTAAGAACAATCTCCAAAAGCTAAAAATGTTAACAAGATCTAAAATATTTTAAATACCCAACTATGTAAGAACTCCATTATACACGATAATTTCCAGAATCTTAAAACAAAATAGCACAAGATGCACTCATCTTACATTAATTCATCATAGCACCTAGACAAAGAACGTCCATACCTGCATAGGCCCAGGAATGCAGGACAGAACTCTCTCTATGTTCTCAGAGGTCACATCAACATCGTTCACAGCAACAAGGACATCACCTGAGAAAAGAATAACAATAAAAGATAGTTGTGGGAATATCCCCAAACCAAAAAGACCTACAATTGGAACATTAAAAACCACTGATTCTAACCTCTTTAAAGTACAGTGGAAAATATGGTCCAGACATTCAAGGGCTTGTCCAAGGCGAAAAAGCTCACTAGTGGCAGAGCTAATCTTCCATTCCACTCTTTCTTAAACTACAATACAGACCAACATTGTACTGTGACTGAATACAACCCGTGAATATTATAGAGATGAATATTCTCATTTTTATACCATTGGGAGAATTATGTAAAGCCAAAGGCCAAATGGAAATCTGCAGCAGAAACCAAGTATTGCACTTAACAAAACTGAATCTAACCACTTATACCCACAGTGAAAATATTCAGCTGAAATTTTAATTAAATACATGTGGTACATCATAACTCAATATGCTGTGAATTCACTGTTATTGATCTGTGTCTACACAGAGCTCTTTTTTTCAAAGGCCCCACCATATCAGAACCCATCTCATGTTTGGTAAAAATTTCCTTTGCCATGGCTTTTCTTTAAATGTGTATGTTTATAAATCTGGGGGGGAGGGGTGGTTAATATAATAAAGATCAATCTTAAAATGGAAATTTACATTCACAACATAATTAAAGGTAATATCAAAACACCAGGAAGTTATATAATAGAAATATATACATAAGGTTATTTCTCATTATATTTAAATATATCATTATGAAACTGATCAGTAATTCATATTCATCCATTAATTAGTCCAATGAATATTTATTGAGCACCTACTGTGTGCTGGGCACTGCAGATAGAGAACTGAATTAAACACACCAAAATCTCTAAACAGAGCTTAATACTCCTTGGGGAAAATGGATAATAAACATATATGGATAAAATAGTGTCGATAGACAAATTTTCATCAGTCTCCTGTGTTTTGTCCATCTTGCAACCCAAGGCACTGAAAGTCTTTGTTCTGGATTATCTTTTCAAAGATGTTTGTATAGAGAACAGCCTTGGATGACGGAGATAGTGTCTCTCTCCAGAGCAAAGGTCAAGTCTGTTCAATGTGCAGTGTAATAAGGATAGTGTCTCCCTCAATATCTTATTATTAATAATTGTTCTTTATAGAAGATTCATCTTCCCTAAGGTCAAAGTTCCTCTCCCTTTAATGCAACTCACTATAGGTATGTGTTTAGGTGTCACCTGGCCCTCTTCATGTCACCCTGGGAATGAGGATTGGGGAAAAGGTGAAAATGCTCTTCTTTTAGCTACTGATAACTCCTCTCTCTCCCCTCTCTGCTTCCTCCCTTGCTCTCCTTGACCGTCTATCACATGGGGAAAGGGTTAAGTGCAGAGTGAGCAGGTGGGATTCCTTAGGTCATTATGTGATGGTTTTCAATGGCCTGTACTAGGTTCAGATGCTATTCACTTCACAGCCCTGAAGGTGTGGGCACTGAGTCACTATGATGGTCAATTACTGAAGCACTTTGAGCAACCTAGTAACTTTTCTTAAAAGAACTTGTAAACTAAAATAAACTTCCAACTTCAGTTCAACCTGGGGGAGAAAAAAGCAACATACCCGCCCCTCACCCCCATTTTTTAAACAGGAGATTAAACAAGTGTACTATATCAAATTATTTATAGCTGCAGTGATTTTTTTTTAAACAAAAGGAGCAATGAATAACATCAGAGTATTGATGCAAAAGAAACCCACTTCTGGACCATTCTATCCAGGTGTTCTGTTGTCCATAAGATGATCAGAACACCTAAATGGTGACCCCATTTAAAACTTGTTCCTTTAAACTCAAACTCCACTGGAAAATGTCCCAAATAACTTTTCCCCCCAAATCCTAATGGATACAGTTCTGCAGCTGAGTGTTTTAGGGAGTGTCACACCTGAAAGCATCACACTTAAGAAACCTCTAAAAGTGGGAGACATGTATCATCATAAAATATATGAGAATAAATTTTAGAGCAAGTGTAGTAAAATCTTTTTAAATGTTTAGTAGAAAAATTTCTTTTTATAAGAAAGTGTTACATCTACTTCTTATTCTCTCAGATACTTGTTTTCCTCAAGTTTTTCCGAGCACTTTCGTGAAGGGACTCAGGCTTCCTGGACCTCACAGCACTGGCAGCCTGAGCCGGGAATTGCACCGCGGCCTCCTGGTTCAGAGATGGGGGCTTAACCACTGAGCAGCACTGGCTGGACTTCCATTCGCTCTGGTCTGGGGGTGGGGGTTGGCTATAGGAGTCCAGGAGCTACCAGCTGACTGTCAAACTTGAAGAAAAACCCAGGAATAGAAATCTAAAAAATAAAGTGCAAGTCCTTGGCAGAAGGAACAGCAAAATGGCACCTTAAAAAGGCAGCAAAACCTCCAAGACCCCAGCAAAGAAGAATCAAAATAGAGATCTGCTGTCTTGAAAGGAAAGAAGGAAGCCATCAGTCTCACTGTGCTAACCAAGCATGTCAGTCAAAGGAGGGTCCTTCTCCTGTTAGACGAAGGCAGCTACGCCAGCAAGCTCCATCACCCGGGCAGTTTTCAAGATCCTCCGTCCTGTGGGTTACCTCACAGTTCAACCACAGACCGCAGCGTGAAGGGAACTATGACAAATTTCCATCACAGAAGCGCTTTGTGGGATTAGCAAACCCTCTCTGATATTAAAGTAGTCTGTTCTTTATTCCTAAAATACATAACTTTAAAACGTAGAACATAACCATAACAAAAACTTGTGAAAAAGCAGAGAAAACAATCACCCATACTGTCCCTATACTAACCCAACACTATTAGCACTTGCTGTATTTACACTGACTTCTAATTATTCTCCCTGTACATTTTATTTTTACATAGTGACCTCTGTGCTGCATAACAAATCACCCAAAGACTCGGTAGCTTAAAGCAACAATCACGTTTAACTATGCGTGTACTGATTTATTGTGGTCGTCACTTTGCAATATATACCAATGTCGAATCATTATGATCCCACCTTTTAAGTAAATCACATAGGACCACATAAGCTGTAGTCACAGGCCCACCCAGATTCAGAGGGCTGGGTGGGGAGAGACACACAGACTATAACTCTCTGTGGGACACAGATCAGCATGACATTGTAAGAAGAGAATGTGGGGATCTTGTTGCAACCCTTTGTAACACACACTTGGTACCGGTGCCCTTCCTACTCGGGTCCTCCTTGCAAACCTCTTTCATGGCACTTATCACACTGTGTGAAACTGTCGGCCTATTTCTGGCCCATCTCTTCCACGACAGTATGAGCTCCACAAGAGGAGCATTTGGACCATTAATTTTTGTGGTCCTGTGACCTAGCAGATGCCCAAATAATTATTTGTCAAGTCAAATTTAGACATAATAAAAATATGTTTTAAATGTTTTTAGAGTATCAATAAAAGCTCCTTTATTTAAATCGCTTAGGCTAGATCAACTTAAGACTGCCAGCTTCTAGCATTGTTAATACCGTTAAGTTTTCCTAATAACATATTCTCATCTGTGTCTAATTTATTTATAAGTATTAAAATCACTACTAACTCAAACATTATCTACAACAGCTTAAAATGTATCACTAACACAAAATGCTCATTTTAGTATATATTCAGAGAAACGTGTGGGTTTAATTTTTCCCCCCTCCAAATTGGTGGGATGTTTTATGGCAAGCACCCTTAAAGGGAAATTTATGTACACCACCACTGCTGTTAAACATGCCAAATCAAACAGTTAAAACCATTCCAAGATCTCAGTGCATTCAAGGGCAAACATACATTTTTACAGTTCTTTTATTCATAAAATTATATATTTTTGTATAATGTTATTGGACGTGTCATTCAACCCTAAATTATCCCTGTACAATCAACTTATTTTCTTTTACTTTTCAGTAAATATAACCAAGATGACCAAGTTATATCATTCAAAACTCAGAAATTAGTTAAGCTGTCCCCTGGCCTAAGCAAGGCACACAAACATCTTCCAGGCACTGAAGCGTTTATTTTCAGAACACCGTGACTGGCTTAACAATTTCACCACCCTTAACAATTTCACTACTGTCCCAAATATCGTCAGGGAGTCCTTAATCTGTTCAGACCCTGGCTATAATCCTGTTTTGATCGTGTTCCTCACTGGCACCTTTAATACCGTGTCTCAGCAAACAAGCCCTGATGTTTAGCCACAGCACTTACCAATTAACACCTGACCACTCTTCATGGCTGATCCTCCTGGCAGCAGGCCATGGACCACCAGCCTCTCCCCGCCGGCCTGCTTTCCGGTTCTTCTCCAGCTCCACTTGGTCTGATGGATGATCCCAACCAGCACTTCCAGAAGCTTGAGCTGCTCTTTGGCTTTGGTGACTGTTAGCTTTTTGGGGTTTACATAGACAGTCACGTCTTTGTACCTCTGCTGAACAATGACTCCTGTTTTCTGATTGGACTGATGCTTTAGAATGGAGACTGGCCCACTCTCATTGCTCTTTTTTTTATTATGGCGCTTGGGTAAAAGTCTTCTGCTTCTTAAAATTTTGGTAAACCGCTTGAGTTTGGGTTCATACTTTTTTCCTTCTTTGTAATCATCCTCTTCAATAATAATCTCATTTTCACTGAACCTGACATGATTCACAACAGGTGTCTCAGGAAGGAGGCTTTCTTCTTCGCCCTCACTCAGTTCCAAATAAAATAGCTCTCCATTTTTCTGCACACTGTCCAGCCATTCAGGCTCAAGGTCACTATGAAAAAAAAATAGATAGTATAAATAGCAGCCAAACATAAGAAAAAGTTATGCCTGACTAGCACAGGGGTGCGGGTAGGGGCAGGGAAATGGGAGATAGAAAAGTTATTTGATTATTAGAATCTCATTATTTCTAGTAAGTGAGTACCAAGGGGTTTTTTTTTTGGAGGATGCTTTTTGTAGAGCCTTGAAGAACAGGGGTTGGAGGAGAAATCCCAAAGATATAGTGATTGAAAATAAAAAAAATAAAAAATGAGATGGCCCCCTTCTAGAATATGAGTTTGTGTTTTTTAAAAAAAGAAATTAAGTTCAGCCCCTGTGTGGTTATTGTTCACATTAGACAATAATTCACATTACTAGTTGTTCATGCATTGTATCCACAGATGTAAGCCATTTGGAAATTGTACATAAAAATATCCTATTTGCATAGAAATTTTTCAGCATGGCTGTTATGTTAAAATGAAAGTTAAAGACCAGTATTAATAGATGTTATTTATAGAGTAAATTTTCAAAACAGAAACATTCACTTCACCATGAATAAAAATCGTTGCTGAAAACCATTTATAATCATAGTTAATTATGATCACTTCTATAGCCTATAATTTCTGTAAAATCCCTTTTTATGAAAAACTGTAGTAGGAAAAGTAAATCACATATTACATAGTTCATCATGTGATTGTAAAAGAACTTTTAACTGGGAAGCAAACCATTGAAAGAAACAAAACTATTGCTATTAAAAATGACTAAAAAACAAAAAATACTTACCTTAAGGTAACACAATTACAAACTCTGCCCTATTCAATGTTATGAACATTTACCTTTCAAACTGTGATTCTTTAAAGCAAAACTGGTTCCTGTGGAAAAACTAACTAGTGGAGAGAGTCTCTTTAGAAACATGAGCTGTAAAATCCTGGCATGAAAGGGTATAATTTGTGTCTTAATCATTCCATCAGATAGAAGACAGTTTGGTTTTCTGCAGTATTAGCAACTCTCATTCTTTTTACTTAAAAATCTCTTTTTAAATACTATGAAAATCAATAAAAAAATACACTTTTCTGTTTGTTGTTCAACTCTGAAACTAACGACTGCCTTGGTCTGCGGGTGGTAATACAGAATTTTTAACTGTGTAAGAAGAGGGGGGAAAGGTCTAACTAGCCCCAAATATCAAAACTAGTATTTCATTGGCATTTGTTGGTTCTCAGTATGTGGCATCATTTTAGGCCATTAGCACCCACCACTTCCTGCAGGTTATTAATCATATATTAGCTGTTCCAACCATCTCTACCTGTACCCACAGAAATCAGTATTTCACAACCCCAGTCCTGCTCTGAAGGGAGAATCTAAATTTACATTTAAAATGTAAATACCATGATTATACACAATCACTTATGAAGATACATTATCAATTTAAACAATGAATGAATTTATTTATTTTATAATCTCAAATCTCACCCTTTAATTTGGCATATTATTTGTATTAGAGATATACGACCCAAAAGAAACATTTCTACCTTCTGTTAAACGTGAAGACAGTTTTATCTTAATCTCTAAAATCTAAATGTGAAACCACTTTTAATTATGATTTTAAGAGCCACGCAGGTGGAAAGGGGGGCGGGGGCGGCTTCTGTGAGTGGTATTCAATTGTAAAGCAAATAAACAGTTCCAGGCACTGCAGCAAAATCTAGAACTACAATGATGGAAACAGCATTTCCTTCCTTTATCTAGTGGGGAGAGGAGCTGAGAAAGAATTCATGAAAATACACATGCTATGTACGAGAGAGGAGTCATCAAACTTAGCCAAAGGTTGAGACTGTGGTCAGGGGAAACTTCCTGGTGGGTGAGACTCCAGAAGTGAGTTTTGAAAGAATAACTGACCAGGAAGGGGAGCCCGGGGCGCTAAAGGGCAAGAAAAGAGATTTCCAAAGAGAAGGAATAGCATAAGCAAAAACCTTGAGCGAGAGTCTCCATGGCCTGTGTGGATAGTCAAAGCTAGGCTGTGGTGGCCAGAGTTTAATTTGTGAGATAGGGAGTGACAGGAGTAGTTAAGTGCTAATTTTTTGAGGCCTTTGGACCACGGGAAAGGTCTTGGATTTTGTAGTGTAGGGCATTGATAAGTTTACCTTTACATGTCAGATATCCTTGGATACGTCTACTTTCTCAAGGAAACAAAAGAAGGATTTGAGGTGGACTCAAGAGATGAAACCAGGTAGAGGGCTTTTTCTATCATCCAGGCAGAGATGATAATGAAGGCAATAGTAGAAAAAATGGAAATAGGAAAAACATTTAAGAAAAGCTTGAAAATCACCAGGACTATGAGATTGATTAGATGAGCGGATGACAGAGAGGAAATGATGAATGTTGACTAGATTTCTAGTTGGTGTCTATACTTTCATGCATCCTTTTATTTTTATTTTTAAATATATATTTTCATTGATTTCAGAGAGGAAGGGAGAAAGAGAGAGAGATAGAAACATCAATGATGAGAGAGAATCATTGATCGGCTGCCCCCGTACACCCCACACTGGGGATGGAACCCGCAACCCAGGCATCTGCCTTGACCTGGAATCAAACCATGACCTCCTGGTTCAT